TCCAATGCCAGACTTGCAAGAGACACGCTAGGTCAGGCAGCAAGAAACCGCCCAAAGTGGTCAAACGCCGTGGGCATGATGCTGGCCCAGAAGGAGAACACAGAGAAGCTGGGAATGGAACGAGCTGGCCATCATCATCTACCACGATGCAGCACGGGCAAATGTGGCAAACGAGGACCACCCGGAGACCAAGGACACTGGCATCTACTCCCAGCTGGGTTATGTGGTGGTGATTGCCCATCGGGAAAAGCGCATGCCTGCCAGAGGGTGTGTCGGAGCACTTTCGCACCCGAGACGATGGCAGCCCTCGAGGGATGGGAAGCTGGGATCGCATTCCGCAATTTACTTCGAGGCTGCTTCCGTGCTGTGGGCGCCCCGGCGATCTTCCGCTGCTGCCCATGACCGACTGCAAGAGCTTGTTCGACTCAGTGCACCGCGCTGGGGGTCCCCGCGCTCCCTCGGAGAAGCGCCTGCTGGTGGACCTGGCCAAATTGAGGCTGGAGCCCCGAAATCCGGGCTACTTTTGGAAGGTCTTTGAAGTGGGTCCCTGCAAGCCTTCAGCTAGCTAGCTGACTGCTTGACGAAAGTCTTGCTGAAAGGCGGATGGTGGGATCACTTGCGTGCATTGAGGGCAACAGGCTCAACAGTATAGGTTGGGAGTGTGAATGTCACATACTCTCAGTTGAGCCTGTTCTGTCCACACGCCGTTTGAGGCACAAGGGTCTTTTGAGGTGAAAAGATTCCGCGTCTTTTCTGTTCACATTTGCAAAACGCACCGTTGAAAAAACGAAGCACTCTGCTTCTGACGCGCGCGCACTGAAAACAGTTGGATAGCACCGCCCCATCTCCACCTGTGACCGCTTTGTCAAGCTAACCCCCTCAGGGGCTGAAAACAAAAACGGTGTCCAATCGAACATGTAAGATGTAAAAATGCCGTACAAAATGCCGTTCAAGACGGTCGACGTCTCATGACGTCTCCACACAAGAAACGCACAAAGCGCCCATGCATCTGCAAATGTGCCACGCTGATTGAACAATCCTGAAAGTTGCCACATCAAGAGCTCGAGGACACCCAGCAATTGCCACCATTCCCTGATCCGCATCAGATTTCTGTGCAGGGACCGCAACATGTTGTTCCTTGGCTGCGTTGAAAGCAACACAGTACCATTTTTCCCCAGTGCATGTGTGATGGGCCTTTCCCACTTCCGCATGCAATGTAATCAGGTCTGCGGGGCCATTTGGAGAGATGCAGAGCTGGAAATTTTGTTTGCACCTACAGCTCCTCCTTTTATGATTGCGGGAAAAATGCAAAACAATTATCAGGGCCACAAAAAAAACGCTTCCAGAGCTCTCAGTGCCCAAGTTCTCTGCTGATGCAGGTGGTGCAATCCCACCTGAAAATACCTAACATCTCTTGCATCGTCAACTCACCAAAAGAAAGTTATTTCCGCCAAAAAGCAAAACACCAGCAGGTTGACACAGAGTCGCATCTGTCACCCGGACCTCCTAAATTCATTTCGTTCGCCAAAAGTAACTTAGCCATGCCTAACGGCTGGCTTTCGTGATTTTTAGCAATTCTTTGCCTCCTTGTGTAATTCATTGTAATTCTATGTGGTGTCTGCTGTGCTAGCATCTTGTCAAATACAGTTCATTCATTGTATTTACAGATTGCATCCCAACATGTTCAACATAGGTTCATTGAGATTTGTTGGTGATCAAGCTTTGGAACCCCTAGTGTGGGCGCTCACCCTGTCAGGCTGGGTGATGGAAAGTTCACGAGATGACCTGTAGCCGCCGCTACCGGGCCCTCAAGAGTCCCTTCTTCACCTCCTTCACGGGGGTCTCATACAACAATGTGTCATGCTCATGAGCACCGGATGCTTCACAACTCACGTAGGAACTGCCAGAGTCTCTGTTCGAAGATATGAGATCTGGGCAGTTTCTACGTGTGGTCAAGATTGACCAGTTCCTAATCCTTGTGTTCAGAACCTGCTATGTTGCTATGATCCCCTGAACGTTTCTTCGAGGGGATCTTACGTCGGCTGCCCGAAAGTTTGCTGAGCTCTTCCCGTTCATACACATCCATTTCATTTCTGTGCTCCACCGAGGCTATCCCACCCCCCTGGTCCAAGTTTTGCTGTTCTTGTGATGCCTGCAAACAGCAGAATATGGAGGTTGACCACCCTGTCCTGGACTACGTCGCTACGTGCCCCTGTGAGTGATGGGCAGCGCGGGAGGACGACGAGGAAAAGGAGGAAGACCTGAACCTTCTTCGCCGCGTCCCAGGACACTCCAGCACAATCGGGGCGATGGTCGACGCAGTGTCCCCGGAGTGACGAGAAAATCTATGCTGGTATGTCTCGTTCGATGGGAGGCTCGTTGGCACTTTTCGACCAACAGGTGAAAATCCGCCGACTCATTGCTGGATTGCTGGTCTTGGGGCGCTGATCTTTGGATGTTCTGCTGGATTCCGGTGGCGCTTGGACGCTGTTGAGAGGGGCGGGGCCTTGGGTGAGTCTGCAGATTTCCTCCCTCTGTAGAGATGTGTTTTGGATTGTTTTGGAATTTGGGACCTGGCATGGATGAGTAAAATTCAACAAAATCATGCAAATGCAGGCAAAAACGACCCGATCCCGCCAGCCGCAAATGCTTCTGGAAACTGAGTCAAGCAAAAGGGTAACCATTGTTTGGATACCCGCTGCTCTCATCCATTGAACCAAGGAAGAGGATGGAGGATAGCCAACGGCACGCGCTTGAACGCAGAAAGGGAGAGGTGGTGGGTCTCAAGCTGCAAAGGCTATCGGGACGGGCGGCTACGACTACAGTGACTATAGCCGTTGGGAGCTCCGGGCTGAGTGGTTGCAGGGTCATTGGGGCTGCTCGGACTTCAGTTTGGCCACAACAGCGGACGAGGTCGATGGCTCCAGATGTCAGCTGGCCTCCGGCTTCAAAGCGAAGAAGGGGGGATGCTTCTGAAGAGCAGGTCGGGTTGCGTGGGGACTGAACGTCCCGGCGGCCTTGCAACCGACATCTGTATCGGCATCGCACGCTCGCGTTTGATGCTTGATCCGTTGGCCAAAGGATGAGCAAGCTCTGATTGACACGAAGGTTGCAGGCATACAGCTGTCCAATGAACATGAGTTTTTCACGGCCACGTCAATCTCTGGGGCTTGTCCTCTGCAATTGCTCCACCCACATCGCTTCAACAAAGAGTTGGCGCGTTGACACATGTCATCCTCGGATTCAGGTAGGTACACCTTGAGCGAACCCCTCGAGTGTTCATTGATGTTGTCGGAACAAGAGTCAACAGTACACGCACACGATGATCGAACCCAAGAAGCCTTTTTCTCATCGCAGTCCGTCTTGGTTTTTCGGTATGTTGGAAACATCCAGGCACGGGCTTGTTTCACCACGGTCACATGTTGTTTGTGCTCAAGTGTTCCCTGTGTCCAGTCATGCGGTGTCATGGTTCCAAGCCGCGTCAGCACCTAAACTTAATATATCTATATATAACTTAATATAGGAAGAAGAACGAGCACGTACAAAAAGTAAACGAACGAGGAGTGATGCAGGTTCCATGCCTGCAACATTTTCCTGGAAGGGCAATTAAGCATCCTGTCTTCAAGGACATTCACGATACCATTCGCACAAGTCCAAGAAGCCACTGCTCACACGACCGCGTCAAACGCTACATCAAGCAATAACTGCAGACTAGGGAAAATGGGGGGCATCGGGTATCGAAAAGTTCCAGTCTGGTTCGCTCACAGCCACCGAGAGCGAAGGATGCGCTGCTGCACGATCCGGAAACAGCACCTGCGAATTCGCTTGGGGTGATGCAGGTGTCCTGGGCAAAGGTGATGGGCTTTGGTGACCAAATGTCACCCAACCCAAAGGAAGAAAGGGTCCGCTGAGCAAGCTTGGAAATGCCCGCCGCAAGCTTGAAGGGTGGGGTGGCGAGATGTGGGACACGAACTCGTGTCCCACATCGTATGTTTGATGGAGGCTTCAGAAATTGATGAGTTTGTGTCGTTTACCAAGCCTCATTGGATTACTTTGCACGCTGAAACAGGCTGACCAAAAAAGCTGGTTCCAAACGATCGTCGAAGACCCGAAGTTGCGAGGCGCGGGTATTGACTCTGTATGTCCCAGTTGGCAAATAACGCGTTCTTCTTCCTTTGCTTTTGTCACTTTGTCCTTTCATTTTTGAACCATTAGACTCCTACTTTAAGACTCCTTTATTTTTATCCCATCCTTCTTCCTTTGAACTCCAATTCCTTGTCAAAAAGTCTGTCCTGTCAATGGTGGCTGTGTGTTGGGATGTGGCGGCATGGTGAAGGGGTGAAGGTGCAAACCTGGGAAACTATTCGATGGATGTGATCATCCACCACTCTGTTCGACCTTGCGCAATCTCCCAGGTTGACCAAGCATAGTCCATGAGCACAGAACATCACTGAAACGATGCCAGGGCTCTGCTGCAGTGCTGCAGTTCCTTTTTCGCATCTCCGCTCTGGCAGCTTTTGATCATCACAACCCCAAGGATTTCAACCATCATTGAAAGCATGGAGATGCGGGAAGATCCACAACCAGATCCAAGCAAATGGGGGCAATTCAAAAATGACAGAGTGAAGGACTCGTGAAAACAAGCCATTGCCAATTCGCAAACAAAGGACTAGACGTTGCGGCACAGATTGGCACAGCTTCCCCTCTGGTTGCTTCTTTGTCTCTTCCAGCTGCTAAATGACTGAACCGCTTTCAGCGGCCAAGCCTTAAAAGAACAGGTCAGCACATTTGCTGTCAGGTCAACAGCTCCGTGAGCCAGTCGACCACTGGGCATCGGGCAACAGGAGAAACGCTCAATGCAAAAAGCGCACCATCTCGGGGAAAAGGTTGTGGAAAGCAAGGCAATAACGTTTGGACGATCTCACTGACATTCCACCAAAACCATCCAAAACCTCATGATCCCCGCTCTTCCGCGCTCTTTAATTTGGCCATCCAGTCGCTCAGTAGAGGCGAGGACATCCCTTGTGAAAGCCTTGGCAGCCCATGGGTAATCGGAAGCTCCGCTTGATGGCCATCTCCTCCAAGTGCGTCAGCCAGACCTTTCAATGAACGGGGCGAGGTCTAATCTGGCAAACGAAAGGATGGTGACGCTGGTTGTGTTCTGACCTTTGGAGAATAAACAATTGAGAACGCTACTAGGAGCAAAGGGCATCGTTATAACTATAAACTGAACCTTATACAGAACTTGTGTGCGAACAATATGCAAGAGAGAGATATCAAATATAGGTTGAGAGATTTCCGGAGAAGTTCCTGGAAGACCATGAAGTCCAAGCAGTCTGATGTGATCTGAGGTGTTCTCTTTTAGAGATCAACAGAGTCAACATTGAGTCCCTGAGAATGTTGTCTGGGCACTGTACAATGTACAATATCCTTGACAGCCTTGGTTTGTCCCTCCTGGAAAGCGCGTAAACAGTCGGAGCACACTCAAGTTCGCACACGACATAACAAACACCCTGGTTCCTGGGGGCATTGGCACTACAGCGCAAATGCGCTATCTGTGAGGGTGCACTCCCCAACTCGCCAACAGATCCGCACGGCCCAAGAAAGCTAGTGTGCTTTTTCTTTTTCGTCTGGTTCCCTCATTCGTAATTAAGTAGGCACCGATATTTATGTAATTAAGTAAGGGCTAGCCGCTACTGCCTACTGGACGCAGGATAGCTCATGTTTCTTCAAGGAAGCGCTCGTGCTATTCATTTGGTTCCTGGATTAATTTCTAAACAAGAATATGCCAACCTTCAGATGAGTAGCACTTGCAGCCTTTCCTCACACTACTTTTTTCAAGTGTACACCATTTCACACCCTATCCTGATGAGCAAGCCAAGACACCGTGCTCTGGGGCTTCTCCACTTGCAGCCCCACGTCATCCTCCACATCCATAGACGGGCAAATATTCTGATGTTGTTTCAGCTTGTGATGACTCCGAGACTCCTCTTCCAGCCTAACTGGAAGTGTTTTAACAGCTGCTAGTGTAATAGGAAAAGTTGGTGAAAACCCAGTGGGTGGGGACCGGTGGGAATGCTGCAAACACTCTCATGTTTTTTCGACACGAATGGTGTTTCACTGATTGGGATGTGCTCCACTCTTTCCCTCCCCACCGTGGATGTTTGGCCGAGCAAGGACGCTACTAGGGGCTCCTGGCCGTACTACTAGGAGCATTCTTGCTACTAGTAACAAGAAGCTGCTAGAAACAAGTGCATCGCAAGTAGTAACAAGTGCCTTACTAGTAGTAACAAGAAGCTAGTAGAAACAAGTGCCACGCTACTAGTAACAGATGCCTTACTACTAGTAACAAGGTTCACTACGAACGGAGCTCCTTCAACCCGAAACATCGAAGGCCCGAAACCGTCATCGAAACCGTCGCCGTCCTCCGGATCGGACAAAGCCCTCACACCCAAGGCTTTCACAAAGCCTTGGGCCGTGTCGTAGCCCACAACCTTCTCACCTTGAAGCTCAAAGAAGCGACACTGGTCGCGTTGGGAGAGAGCGACTCTGGTAGAACCCAAAGCTTTGGGAGAGAGACATTTGGGTCTCCAGATCCCATCAGATTCCCATCTGGCCTGCGATGTTGGCAACGGACCACCATGTTTGTTGGGAGCTCCACCTCTTAGGGAGTCCCAGTAGAGGAAGGTGGTGGGTGCCGGAGGTGGCCAGGTTGCAGCTGGCAAACAACTGAAATAACATCTAGAGACCCTCACCTAAGAGGTGGGGAAAAAAGTGGACACATTTTCTATACGTATCTTCTGGTTGCTCATCAACCAAGTGGCGATTGATGCGAACGCCGGACTTTTCCAACTTCAGCATGAAGGGTCCCGTTCCGAACGTCGTCTCAGTCCTTGGGGCGCACTTGGAATGGCGCACCAGAGCGAGGTGGTTTCAACCTGTTTCAACTCATTTCGACCCATGCACTAGGTCGCTCAGGCACTAGATTCACTAAAACAGTCAGTAAAGAAATGTACAGAATGTCGCACACACCGCAGACACGCTCGTTGATGTTTCACGATGCTTTCACATACGGCTCACACTTCAGTCAACTCATTACAAGGACTTGTCTGGTGACCTTGGTTGTTTCCTGATCCAGTCCGGCAACCTGATGAGTGATGTGATCTTCCAAAAATCCCTTGTGACAGCTTGTTACAGCTTCCTATGTTCCAAGAAACAGCTTCCTATAGATTGATTTACAATTCTATCATTATTTCTTCCTTCTTATTGCAAGTGTCAATAAGATCCGGATGCTGTTGCCCAAATGGGAGATGTCTGAGAGGTTCACGCAAAAGGAAAGGTCCAAGTGGAACTCCTGCAAATCCCTTAAGCATCGAATGCTTTTACCCAGCTCGATCACATAGAAGATCCGCTTGGCACCCGACAAGTCCAAGAACAACTGCCTGGAGAACGATTCGAACGGGTCGACGGGTCGACGGGTCCGCATCGAACTGAGCTTGAAAAGGTTAGGTCTGTGACTCTTGCGATATCTCAAATTGCAAAGATTGCATCACAAAACGTCACGAGACACTTCGATTGCAGCCAGTTTGACGCATTCTGCCCAGATTACAAACGAAGTGCTAAAAATACGCAGGGATCATTGGCTTCTTTATCCCAATTACAAGGAAACGACTTGTGAGTGGGTTCTGCCGACTGGTCCCTGGGTGGTGAACTTCGCCTGAGCTTTGGCAGCTGGCGAAGGCTCTTCCCCAGCAAGACCAGGTCCGAATCCACCATCAGCCCTTTGCAGCCTGACAGCATTGGCTGCCCCTGGCCTTCTTCCCTGGTGAGTTGCTTTAGACTATATCCGGGCAATTTAGCCATAGCCCCCACTGGGGCAAATAGATTGGAAAAACGAGGTCATGAACAAAGTAAACCTTCTGTTAGTACACCTCGACAAGTCCAAATTCAGCCTCATGACATCTCTTGAGCAGTGATGACATGTCAAATTCCTCAACAAAACAGCAGCCCCACCTGCCAAGGAGAGCTGCAAAGATGTCAGCTGTTGCAAGTCACCTGCAATCAGAATACAAGCGTCCAAACGCACTAGCTTCAGAAGCAATAGCAAAAGTGTGATCTTAGGGGGAATGACACGTGATACCAAATCATCAGCTACAGGGTCGGCCTATCAGATTATCAGTGTATGGTCTGGATCTCTCGCCCTCTGCTCCATGAAGTTGAAAGAACTATGTAAACAACTCATACACATACATACCTACAGTTCCACAGCTAGGTCCAAAGGTGCTAAGTGGAAACTCATCATCGTCACCACCAGCACCACCATATCTCACCAACAACACATGTCTCGTATTTTCTCTACTAGTAGCGTCCTTGCTACTAGTAGCGATGCCCTTTGTTACTAGAAGCTTCTTGTTACTAGTAGTAAGGCCAGGAGCTACTGGTAGCGTCCTTGATACTCTAAGGGCTGCCGTCCACTGTCCACACATGTCTCTCCACCGTGCCCAAATTGCAGTCCACCAAGGCACCGATGCAACGCAGCAGCTCTGAGAGGTCCTCAACGCAGGTCTCTCATGGGGTGGCGACCCGGAGGTCCATTCGCCAAACCGCAGGATGGAGTGGAACTCCCATGCCCACACGGAAAAGAACTATATATGCGTCTTTGCAGTGGGAGTACTTCTCAATGTGTGCTTTCCGCCAAGGCCTTGAGGCTTACGGGACTACATGGGACTACCATTTACTAGCTGGAGTCCAAATGTGCCAGATTGATTGTTCAGATGGCCTATCATAGACTAATGACTGATTGGAACCCATATGGAGACTTGTGCTCCATCCAACGTGTGTCTTTGATTCATGTGTCAATTGCACTGTGGTAGATACTGGGATTCTACTGAAGTTGCATGGTTGACTGTTGTTCCACGCACGCATGTCAACTATGGTTCCACCAGCAGGTCGCTCATACTGAATTGGCCTCGCCCCGGAAAACTCACAAACTATTTGGCGCTTCTTCGTTTTGGAGGATTCACGTCCAGATCTCAAACTCGGAACCGAACCTGAGTCAGTCACGCGCTGGTGACGGTAGAGGGATGTGTCTTGGGGCAGTGAGGTCAACCATGGTCAACCGATACCATGAAACAGCGGGTCTGTGTGGTCACCGATTGTTGACGTGTTTCGTCTGCAGTTGCACTGAAGAAGGCAGTATAATTGGAGCCTGGGAGAGATGTCCCGCTGCAAAGAATGGGGAAGATTAAATCATGAAAGCATATTAAAGCTTGTCTCTTGGCCAATGGGTGGAGGGATCAAAGTAGCCTTCATGATTCCTATCCAAACCTTTATGAACCATCATGACGAGCAACAGGGCGCAGGGTACCCTCGTAGGCATGGGTAGGCATAATTAGGTAGAGGGGTGGATATGCCTAGATTAGATACTGTAGATACCCCAAAGGTATGCCTAGATTAGGGGTAGGGGTATGTAGGGGTAGTATAATTATCTCATTAGAGGGGTAGATTCCCCATGATTGCACTGAAAGTGCAAGAGCTCCTGTAGCCGCTCGCATCCATCCAGTCGCAACTCCAAGCGTTGCAGCGTCAGCGTGGGCGGCGCTGGCGACCAGCCCAGGTGCAGCAAGTTGACGCAACCATTGAGCCGAAGTGCGAGTTCCTGGAAAAGCTTGGCTTTTCGGCGAAGCATTCCCCAAAGCATCCCCAAAACCCCCAGCTCACTTCATGCAGGAAGCTCACTCGTATAATTCCAAGTCTGCCTAAGGCGGATGCATGATGCGTCAGCCGATGGCCCAACATACTTCCCAGATTGCAAAGAACTTTAGACCCAAGAAGCAACCTTTGAAGTAACTTTCAATTCATCTAAATTCTACACCTTGAAAGTTCAGCACACGTTGTTTGTCACATAAGTCTGTCGGAGAAAATTGTGGAGTTCTCTTTCCATAAAACTGGCACAAGGCGATCGAAAGCAATGGCTCAAAACGGCTGATGGAAGTTCCACGTTGGACCCATAGAACCCAGGTGGGGATGCGCAAACTTGGCACAAACCCCCACAAATACACAAGTAAGAAACCTGTGCTATTTGGTTTTGCACCGTTCACTCTTCCATCAACACCTACAGTGCTCACACCCAATCGTTGAGGTGTGTTCCGATTTACCTCCATTCCGATTTCCCTCCAGGTGGAGCCCTTCGGCTTCCCCGCCTTCAAATGGCCCAAGTTTCGGAGCCCTTCGGCCAAACACTCTGCAGAGGCCAGGTGCGACACGTGGCCTGGAGAGAGCTCGGTGGAGGGCGGAGGGCGTTCGGGTCGTGTCGTGTTGGGTTTCACTGTAGGCTGAGCTCTGTTTGGGCAGCGGTTCAGTGCAAAACGCCTTGAAATACCGATAGAGGCGAACGACTCCATGTCCATATATCCGTACATATACAAGCTCTAAGGTTCTTCCAGGTGTCCTGCTGTCGTTTCTAGCCACACCAAGCTGTCGTTTGTGAAAGGACCTAAGGACGTTGCATCACTGCATACGCTGCATACGTGCTTAAGCCTCTTTATGAGTTCTGCGTGCCCTCGCCGGGATTGGTTAACACGCAACATGTGCTCCAAGCAAATTTGTCGACTGAAGACTTGAAGATCTTGGGACGAAATCTATGGGCCCAAACATGGATACAACGCAGTCACCCACAAAAGGAACGATGCACAGAATCTGCATCAGCAACTGGTAGTAGACAGGGGTGGAGACGAATTCTGTCATGTTCATATCTACTAGCCTTTGGGGCAATGCACACCAGCCAAAATCAATTCAACACGTTGAGAGAATGGGATGGGATGGAGTTCATTCAATCTCTCTACATCGCGTTAACATGGACTATCCAACCTGTGCCCGGCAGAAGACTGAAACAACAGCTTAAGATATCTTTCAAAGATAGGAAGATCTCGAAACCTTGGATAGATTAGATCCAAAGATGGCAAGTGTGCAAACTCCAGTCTCAACACGAGCCATACACCATCACCGTCCGCTGGTAATGCCGGAGAATACTTCAATATACTTCACATACCCAACCGTGGCTAGGTGTGCCTGCTTGTTCGCACAAGCACGCGTCAAACATGTTAAAACTAAATATAATGTAATATATAGTAATATATAATCATATCCCAAGGTCCCAAGACTAGTCTTCCGGCTCAACAAATCCCGTCCCGTATATCCGTATATCTTCCAAACCCCATGGGATCCAGAAATTGAGCGCCATGAAGGATCATGCAGGATCTCTCTAACCATGAATGATCGTGTGGAGGACCAAGTGGCCATTGGCATAGATGCTCCGCCATCCCAAGTCCAACTTCAGGCTTTCCAGCTCCGTCAAGCTGGCCAAGGACTGGGACAATAACGACCTCATTCTTCACCAAGCCAACCGATGTGCTTCTATTTCTCTCTCTAAAGAAGAGGGCACGCCCCTCCTACGTTTGTATGGGAATCGCAGGGTTTGGTCAAAGCGTCCAAGTCCCAGACTGCATGGAATTCAAAGCATTGGAATGACTTCACTCTGTAAACTTCTATTCCTGTATAGTATATGCTATATATAATGTAGGATTAATATGGATTAGTCCCTCTCAAAACTGGGGATTCATTCAACCGCAACTGCTGACTGACCGCCACTGAGTACTGGCCCAACTGCGGCTCATTTGCATATGACTCCAAGATGCAAAAAGGTCTCTGGATCCTCCAAGACATGAGCGAGGCAGGGAAGTGTCAACTCCTCAGACAGCGAGACGACCGTCCCGTTGCGTTCAGAGCATGCTCATCAGGCGTCCAATGATTATTGAATTGATTGGCTGGTTGGTCTGGTTGTCAAAGCGTGTTGCAATCTACAGTCTACATATGTCAAATAATATATACAGTATATAAATCAAACTCATGAACCACTGGAAGCACCAAACTGATTACTGTATCTCTCCACCCACCTCACATCCCGGTATGACTGGTAGCACCTTCTGCACAACGTTCTGAGCAATCACCGCCAAGTAGGGTGCCACTGGGAGCTGCCTCAGCCACAAAGCTCGGAAGTAATTACAGTGGATGCTTCTCCGGTTCCCCCCCTTTTTCGGTAGGTTGGTTGAAGGTCCAAATCAACCGAACAAGTAACAAGTGCATCGCTACTAGTAGATTCTTGCTACTACTACTAATGCAAATGTTACTAGTAGCTTCCATCAACGGCCTTCGGGTCTTGCAGGGTCTTCCCTTTGAGAAATCCCCGCTTCGATCGCTTCGAAAAGGGCCTGTTGAGCACCTGCACCACCGCAGTGCGGGCGAAAAAGCTCCGGAGGTGGCGGCTGATGCCCTCTGCGCTCGCCGGCCTGGTATTTGGTCACCGTAGTAAGGCCAGGAGCTACTAATAGCGTTCTTGCTCCTAGAAGCGATGCCCTTTGCTCCTAGTAGCGTTCTTGCAAGGGCGAGTGGATGCTCAGGGAAAGCATGTGGGGATCCATCAAAACTCCTCACGATCAGCTGTTCAATGTTGTTCGACTGTTCTATGTTCTTCAGAGTTGCTGTCCTTCCCGGTCCTATTGAGCCTGTCGAACTGCAGAGCGGGGTAAGTTGGGATCAAGTGCACTATGAGCACGGTTTTGGTCGGTTGGTGAACTGGCAGGTATCCATCCGATTATCCCTGCTACTATGCCATTCCATTGTCATCCAAGACCTAATATGCCCGGTTTGAGTTTGGAGTGTATGCCAGTATGTCAATGTGCAGGTGGATGTGCTGGATTCCGAGCGGTGCAGTAGTTCGCAACCCTTGACCAGGGAGCCCAATTCGACACTTCATTCGAGCACTTCCAAAATCACGGGCCAGCTCTCAGTGCCTTTGAGGCAGGTCGGTCGTGAAGCTAGTTGTCCTTGCTTTTGGACATTCTATTTGCCAAGATCTTTGTAACATATTGTAACAAGTCCAAAGCACCGGTCTCCGGTAAGTTTAATTTATAGGCCTGACTTACGCTGCCAAGAGACTCGTCAACAAGGACCAACCTCTCCAGGAAGTGGTAGATCCATGTCCTGAAGCTTGCAGCTAACACGCCCAAAATGCAACCCTAGTGCAGCAGATCCTATGGGCTCTGTCCTTTCAGCCGGCACGGAGGTCTTGCATGATGCGAAATCCACGCCGAGGCCAGTATGCAATGCCTCGCGACGCATTGGCATTTTTTTAAACCGGTTGGGGCGGAAGAACATCGAACGCCTTGTGCCAACTGGCCAAATCCAAAGTTAGAACTATTAGAACAGTGTAGAGTCTTGCGTCAGGAAAACCACGTGGAGATGAAGTCAAGAACAACCTGCGCAAAAAACGAGCATGCACTTCCTGGCATTGCGGTGCCCTGAAAAGAAAGGTTCAACAAATCACTTGGCTCCCCCGTGTCACCTCCAAAGGGAAGCTCTTCTCTCGGTCGGTCTTGCCAATGTGCCCCATACCAGGGTGCTTCGCTTCCCATTCCTGCCACAAAGCCCCACACACTTCACAGGATGCAAATGAACATGGCGCATGCACATAATTGCACGAGCTAGACAACCACAGTTCTTCACAGCACTCACCCAGGTACAGCGAATTTGGCTAGCAAGAAGGGTTTCTCCCACCAGTCTCTCCGGGCACAGTTGCTGCTAGGTTCTGACGGAGAAAGCTGTCCTCCTCCACCTCCGTCAGCCCGTCTGTCAACACCACCGGAAGCCGGACATCCGGGCGCCTCAGCTCAACCGGCGAGGTCTCGAGTTGAGCCCAGCCGGCGAGTTGTGGGAGCGCCTGTGGTGTGTGCTTTGGGATGCATTGTGAGTCAGGGGCAGTGGTCAGCTATGGCGACATGCAACGAATATCATTCCAACTTGGGAATTTCCATTTGAATGTCCAGATACGCAAAACTGACCGGCTATAGGAGTCCACCAGCTGGTGGCAAATGTTTGTGCCGGCACCGGCATTCTTGCTACTCAAGACAAATACAGCAAGTCGAGGACCATTCCAGGGAAGCAGTTCATGCAGGTTCATGCGGGAGTCTCAGATTACTGATCTGTGAAAGGACCACTGTGCTGTGCCGCACAGAGTGTGTCCATGACAAACTCATTCACCATGATTCACTTCATACTGTGTCACTGCAATCGGTTAGAGGCCATCGCTCTTAGGGTTCACCTCCTCTCACTTCGCCGCTTCGCCGCACCGAAGGCATCCAAGGCTCATCGTGACCAAGTCTAAGGTGCCGCTGCGCGGCTTCTGGTGATCCTTCCGAGCCTCGCCGACAGCAGACTGGAGCTGAGACTGCCAGATGGAGCCCCGTACTGGGGTCCCAGTACTGGTCCCAAAGAAACCAGAAACTCAGCATGATCCAGCAGAACGGAACCTCAAGTTTCCGGTCAGCAAGGAAGCCCCAAAAATCCGAGGATCCTGCTCGAAGTGCCCAACCATCAATAAACCACAAAAGGCCTGAGATGGTGACAGTACTCTCTAAATAAGATAAGGTAATGTATCGTTATGGTGCAAAAAGGCTCCGGCAACTGGTGGTCAAATGACTTTCTGGGTCCGTTCTGCTGGATAAAATTTGAGAGCTGAGACAAGGAGATGAGGCAGCTCTTCGAAATTTGGAAGCCAGCCCAACCCCTTTGCATCTTAGTGGGAACCAATTTCCAGAGTCCAAAGAACTGCTGTGCTGAGCACCGCAGTTGACTCCATCACTCTAAGTTGAGTGCACTATGATGGATTCCTGAAAGATTTGCTTCAACCCAAAACAATTGGTTCTGATCTTCGATTGGTTCATTGACCCCCAACTTCACCAGCTTCACTTCACCAGCTTCACTTTGCTGGCTCCGCTTTGCTTCCCGCCCGTGAAAAATCTTGGCGCCTCCCCCAAGCCGGTGGCCACCGCCATCTCCAAGACGCACCAGCTCCGTCGAAAGGCCTCACCCTGTGGGTCTTTTTGCGTCACGCCGCGGCGGAACAACGGGAGAACTCCGCTTGTCATCTCAGGCTCTCAGGTGGCTCCAGCAATATGACCATCAAAAGTCAAAATACATTGAATACATCAGGTTCGATCAGAATGCAAATTGGCTCTTACAGGCGGATATGGACAATGGATGACACTGGCCGTTTCGCTCCCTTTGGAACCATAGTTTCTTCTAGAAACAAGGAACATGTTCCATCAAACCGTGTGACATCATGTACATAACACCAAGGACTCAGGACGCCACAAGGAGCAAAGGGAATCGCTACTAGGAGCAAGGATGCTACTAGTGGCTCCTGGCTGTACTGCTAGGAACAAGAAGCTACTAGTGACTACTAGTAGGACGATCACCCATTTCTGGATCTCTGGATCTCTCCACTTGCCATCTCCCTGCCTCGGGCCCAAGCATCAACAGCACTTGCCGCGGTGCCAGCACCCGCGCTGTCAGCAGTGCGTCGGCCGCGGCCGTCGCGCGGCCCGTGGGCGCAGCATCTGAGGGGCCAATGGCGGCCCAAGCCGCCCAGTAGGCAGTCCTAGAGGAGACAATAGGAAAGAAAGGAGATTGTTTAGCCTGGCCTAGCCTCCTGCCCGCTTCAAAAACGGACTCCTATTGCACTGTCCACGGTCCTGTATGATTTGTTTGCACAACCTTTTGGGGTTTGGAAATGATAATGACCCCATGGTCACTGGTAACTCTGCGCGCTCAGACCCAAAAGCCCTGCCTTGACACGGACATCCTTCGGATATCGATGTGTTTCGCAAGGCATTGGACGAAGTTGCACATTGCCTCGCAGTGGCAAAGCTATGGGCGGTCCATCTTCCTCCATCCCTCTGCTGTTGCTTTGTGTTGGCTGAATCATGTAGAAACTATCAAACGGTGGTGTTCAAACGGCGACTCTTGAGTTGGGAGCAGGAAAAGTGTACCTTGGGATTCTTTGGGTGTCGAAAAATTTGCCTGTGATGTGGTCAAATACTACTTGCACATCTTGCACTTACTTGAACAAGACGAGTTGCCTACCTCCAATCCATCTATCTACCTACCGTATCTATTGGAACTCTCTCCGGTGTGGGCGGTAACTTCACGTGAAGCGTGCTGAACATGCGGCTGGACAAACGCATCAACGCCTGCTCTGTGATCTGGTGCGCTATCCACTCGCGCGGCGATATGTACCGTCAAGGCGGCATCAAACATAAGAGCAAATTCAGCAAGCCAATCAACAGCTTTCTGTATAGTAGGTAAATCAACAGTTTTATCCCAATGTGCACATTGTCTAGCCTAGCCATCTTGCCCAAAATCCTCCAAGGCTTTGAGGGCTGCGGTGTGGCCAAATGAAGGGGAGCAAAGAGAGGGCACCGCCCCTCTCAGCCTTTCAGCCTCATGTCAACCCATCCAGATCCTATTCACTGTAGAACTCCCGATCCCACCGGCAAGCTCAGCCGGAGAAAACGACTGAGCTCCAGTGGGCGCCTCGCCCCACCAGTGGGAGATGAACCAGATCCGCTTTGGAGGCTTTGTCTCGTTGATGACCACTTCCGCATAGCTGAAGTCTTCGCGAAAGGTGAGGGGCTCGATGATCCAATGATGCACCTCACAAATTGGACCCATTGGAATGAAGGGAAGAAAGACCTTGCACGAGCCAAAAGAAAAAGAACACGGAGTCATAGTCATCGTCAAATCTTGATGACTAGACCATGTCATCACTGGCTGCTTCGGCTCCTGTGACTCGTTCGGTTCCACCGACCCCCCCCGCAACCCATCGGGACAGCATCAGCTGCCTGGTAGATGTTCAGCTTGGGCAGCTTGATACTCGGCAGGTGCTGCTCGAGGTCATACCAAAGCTCCCCGTTGTAGCTGACACCTGAGAGATGTCAGAAGTCATCCAGAGTATTCAGGGCGATCCCGAGCTTCTAAGTACGTCCAAGTAGAGAAGTAGAAAAGGAATGAAGTCCCAAAATGTGGGGACGAGCAGAAGTGGAGATTTGCCCAGCTGCGCGTGGGTAGAAGAACTCCCAATGAAAAAGGATTAACACCAACTGTCGTGCGCAAAACTGAAAGTCATCTAGCCTGTTCACGATCCTGGCCATCAGTTACTCAGTTCACACCCCCCGTCCTCGTTTGACGAGGATGAGATCGAAGCTTGGGTTCTCCAGATCCTGTACGTAGTTCAAGTCATCTCAAATCTTCCTCAGGATGAGAGGTATGTAGCCCCGGTCGGTGAACCTTTGGGCCCCCCGAAGAACTCGGACGGCATCTAGTTTTCTTCTCACCAGTATCAACTCCCCACACCCCAGCCCAAACAGCGGCGCTTCTCCAGCGTCGCGCCTTCCGCGAAGCGGAAGAGAGCCCGGAAGTAGTGGAGGGGAAGAGCCCGTTCTTCGAGTCGATGGATGGCCGTGGCGTTCTCGCTGGGGTTCAACGGCTCGAACTCCTCGCGGCGCTGGACTCGATTCACAGGGCCGCGGACAGGGCTCGGTCAGGTTGCTAATGCCCTCTCGCGGGAAGGCTGCTTAGCAACTGGTCTTCCTTGTGTCAACTTTTGGATTACTTTGTGTAATGCATTCAAACACAAGTAAATCCTGCAGAACTAAGCAAAACGATTGATGTGCCTTCGCCTGGCCCTGGATCTTCAATAGCATTCCAGCTTTCGTGGGGCAAGGGATTGGTGTGAACATTCTCAACCTCCTTGATGTCTCTTGGTTTACGTAATGCCTTACGAACCGCCTCGTCAACCCATGAGGTGTCACATCAGTCCTGCTCGGCCGGGGTGGAGCGGAGCAGGTAAGCAAGAAAATCGCAGACCTCAGCAGACCAAAGGCCAGAGAAGGGTTTTGATAGGCTGAACCAGGCAAGGTCGGTTGGATGTCTAAGGCCGCATGTCTAGGCCAAATCGTCCTTCTTGGTTGGGAGAGGCCATCCATTTCAATTGCCATTGAACGAAAATCAGAAATAGCATGAATTATCAAACAAATATAGGATCATCAATGATATTATCGCAAGGTGGAAGATTCAGTCCATGAAAATATACAGCATATAGCAGCCCTGAAGCCCGCTAAAATACGTTCGACAAGAGACTGTTGGTGAGCCCATCAGTCTTTCACAGCTCCCTTTCGAGGGTCAAATAACACGGTTTCTTCATCCCCCCCCGCCCGGGATCCCAGTGGACTGACGATTGCTCTTCAAGTAGCAGCGACATCCAAGGGCTCCCCCTGGAGGATCGGGCGACGGCGCGCAAACCCCGAAGAGACTTGTCCAACTTGTGGATGGTACCAGGATGTAGCAGTTTTGTGCACCCATTGCGTGTTGAATGCTTCAAACGACTGGGAGTGATGTCTGATTCTCCCAACAAGGGCCTGGTGTTTGCAACCAATGCCTTCTCAACTAGGTAGAAACCTTTGAGAAGTCCAAGCAGCACTTGGAGTCCGAAATTGTCAAAACATGTCAAAACACAGGTCCATGTGCCTTTCATATACCTGGGAAGCAAGTGATGTTCACTGCCAGACAAAATAGCGCAGGTGTTGCCTCTTCTAAAGAATCGTTCTTTCCAAGAATTCAGACAAATTGATGAGAAATGCGTGGATCCTTGTCATTAGGCTGTCCAGTGTTGAACGCAGCATGGTATCTAGTAGAGCCCCCAAAATGCCATTGAACATCTCTGTACTAACTTAACTGGCTGCCGAAGACTGCCCAACCTGCGTCTCGAATGTCCCGCCAGAAATCTCTTCGCAAATCTCCAGGATTTCCGACTCCTGACGTATGCAACAGCCAAAGCCAGGTCTCTCACTGATCGATCATGAGGTCTCTCACTGTGTCCTACAAAAGACTTTTCCATACTTTTCCTGTATGCCACTGAAAATGCTTATGGGATGGTGGCCATGAACCTCCGCTACGGAGTCCTGGACCGGTCGACCTTTCCGTCATCTCCCCATCGACGCTCCCGTTCCTGCAAAAATCACTGAGCTGTCTAGGTCTCTACTTCCTGTCTGGACCAGTCATACCAGCGCATCCAACACATCAACTCGATCCTGTAGCCGTGTGGTCAAACCCTCAGAACATCTTATTCCAGCGTTCCAAGCATTTTCAAGCAAGCAAGCAAGCACGCATGGGAAAGCTTCCAGTTACTGCTTCGAATCGGACGTTGCTGTGCTGAAAAGACAAGGCGAAAACAAACATCTTCCACATCACGGGCGAAGCGAGGCACGGAAACATCAGAAAAAAGAAGGCGACCCGTCGCTCCTTGTAAGCAATGTCCAGCACTTTGCAAGCCTCTTCAATGGCGGTAGTACCTCCAGTCGAAGGACAGGGGTGAAAATGCATCACTTTGCTTTCAAGTGGCTTGCTGACTTGTGACCGCCCGCACTTTGAGACATCAGAAGTTTCACATCTGCTTCCGATGTTCATCTGTCTTGCCTGTACTTAGGAGGACGTCGGCCCAGAGTCCAGCTTAAGTTCTTGACATCACAAAGTCCACAAGCCAATGGCCTTGGCGCCACGCGAGCTCTCCCAGCTGCACCAGGAGACTCTTCAGCTCTTGAAAACGCTCCGACCTCGATTCGACGCACAAAAAAGACCACATAGAAACACCAATGCCAATAAACGAAAATCCCGTTCAAGTGGTTCGGTTCGTCTAAAGTGTTCTGCCATCTCAACGGTGGTCTCAAGATATAAAGCTCGACCAATGGCATGTTGATCTACATGCCCAGAGGTGCTCACCTGCAAACTGATCGAGCTCTACTGCCAGCTAAGCTTTTCACTATTAAATTAATATAGGCTTTACCGAACCAACTAACGATTTTAGACTACAAGAACCAGTTCAACCATTTCTTTAATGGTCTTGGAAGTCTAGGGCAAGATCATGCAAGTACTTCCCTCGCTTGAGAAATCGTGCTGGCCATGACCAATAGTGCTGATCCTCGTAGTCACGTTGAGTTTGTTCTTCTATCGTTGTATTCCACATTCGGCGAGTGACTCAAGCGTAAAAGGGCAACAGTGAAGCGGACACCCTCGACCTTTTATGCGGGTAGCCTGCTCGAGGGGCAGGCCGCAGGCACGTTTGGAGCAAAAAGACACTGTCCCTTTTGCTGCTTCCAAGGTACACCATCTTGCCTTCTGAAGCATCGCGCAGTTCCAGGGCCATGGCACTGAGGAAAAATGGCCGAGTCTTACCCGAGAGGAATGATTCAGTCAGCGAAGCTGCTGGTGATGCGCAGATGGTGCTCAAGGTAGAGAATTTACATGCCACATGCGTGACAGTGCGTGACTAACCAAGGATCTTCAACTGCACTGAGATAAAGCAATCCGGAGAATCCGGAGATTGACCAAGCACAGGAGTCGTCTGCTTCCGGCTGACCCTTCCCAACTATATACCCAGCAGGAAACATGGGTTTCATGGCACTGCGGGACCCATAATTCGCAAGCTTCACAGCCGCTTGAACAAAAGATACATGGCCTGGTCGGAGTGTGGCTGAGACGATGGCAAAATGGAGGATACATGGTCTGGCTCCCCCAAAGTGACATCAAAGGCCACAGGAACATGAAATGTCAAAACACATGACTGGGTACAGTAGGGAAGTCCCATCAAGCAGCGGTCTGGGCGATGTTTTCAATTTGGAATCTTCACCAGCACCACTGAAGTGGATTGTGGATCTCTTGGTGAATGACACCCCGTCTGCGGCACAAGAGTGTTCGAACTCCGTGTGATTTGAGCACACCGACTTCGATCCCAGCGAGTTCGTGTGTCACTTTCTCCCGACTTTATCTCGCACACAGGGCCTCAGATGACCTAAGTGCAAGGTTGGGATCCTCCATGATGGAAAGCAGATTGTAGGATTTGCTGAAGCAAGTGAACCAGTTCCAATGGCAATCATGCTGCAGATTCAAGCCAGTCAATGTCGATATGGAAGACGGTTGGAAGATCTCTTCAGGGCCAGGTGCAGCTGCTCCAAGGCTGCTCTTGTCTAGGCCGCAACTAAGTCGAGGTGGACTTCGAGGCTAGTGAAAGGATCAACTGGAAGTTCCTTGGTGGCCAAAGCTGCCAAATGCTCCGAAACCGCCAGAGTTTCTTCCAAACCTGTGTCCTCCCAAGCTGCCACGGCCTCCAGGGTCTCCAGCTCCTCCAAAGGGTCTTCCAAAGCTGCAAAAGCCTCCAGGGTCTCCGGCTCCTCCAAAGCCAGGGGGTTGTCCGAAGCTGGAAGAGTCTCCAGTGTGCAAAAACCCTTCGCCAAAGTTGCCAAAGCCTCCATTGTCTCCAGCGCAGTCAATCCCTCCCAAGCTGCAAGCTCCTCCAAAGAGGTCAAGGCTTTCACGGCCAAACCCTTCCAGGAAACCAAATCCTTCGGAGCGGCCAAAGCCAAATCTTCCCTTGCCCTCACAGGGTTGGCATCCAAAACTTACAACTTACGATCATCTACGAATCTACGCTTACCCTGGAACCCACTTAAAACATGCCGCCAAAGTACTATTTGTTTACTCTGCATATCTTTGCATTTTATGCATTGCACTGCATTCTGCATTGCTTTAGTATTCATCAAGCGTTCTGTCAGTACCCATGAGGTCTTCCGCTGCCTTCCCCTTGGACCACTCCAAAGCTTGCTCCACCAGGGGCACTGCATCCATGGGCACCCGTGCATCTGTGCCGCGGCCTTTGACCAAGTAGGATTGGAGGTCCAAGGGCATCGCCGAGAAGAAGAGCCGCCTCCGCCGCAGGAGGACCCACGGGACCGTCGCACGAGGCACGGGAGCTGTGGGACATCGAAACGGACTCTGACGGGTTGAATTTGGATCTCACAGATTCTGAAGTAGGTTGGAGGCCATCGCTTCTAGGTTGGAGGCCTTTAGAATTAGGTTGGAGACCATGGCTGTTAGGTGAGAAGTAGGTCTTGATCAGATTACATCCACGCCCTGGACTTGACACCACCCCCCCCGGGGTACTGAAGAGTGTACTAGCAAGAGTCCAACTCAACTCCGTCTTCTGGCACCTCGCCCGGGGTGAGAACACCCAACTCATCGGGTCGGGGCTTTCTGCCTCATGCCCTCTTCCACCACGGAGGCAGCATCTTCATCTTCCACTTGCAAAGTGAGGCGCACCAGCTGCTTAAGGGACGTCTGGAACTGGTCGCCGCTCTCCCGAGCGCAGGATTCATAGATCCAAGTGTCCCTGGCGAACATGGAGGGACAAGCATGAGACATGCCCCAAAGCTCTTGGCTGATGCGATAAACACAAGCTGTCAACAATCCCAGAAAATTACGAGTTGCCTGGCAGGTAGGTCTCCGAACCACGTTGTCACAGCCCCCAAAGCTTTCCGAATCATTCTCAGACCTCCCCCAATTGCGTGTCCCCCACATTGGAATCCTTATTTGCCCGGAAAATCTTGGTCTAACGAGCTCGTTGTCCAGTGCCTGGTGTTCTATCTGAGCCGATGCTGAACAATATATGTGTGTATAAGTTTCAGAATGTACAAGGCCAGTTCATCACCATGTCAAAACGAAATGAGATTTTGCTGAAGAAAGCTCCCGCTACTATCGCTCACTCCAAGCAATCGAGTTTAGTGGTGGCTCTCTTCTGGCAGCGCAACAGGGAGTACTCCCGCAAAGGTTCACATGGAACTACATCATCGGAAATCAGACTCTCGCAGAAATACGGACTTGCTGGAAACTACAGCGGCCAAATCATCCGTGGAAGAAGGTGGTACCACATCATCAATTCTCAGGTCTGGGTAGACCCAAAGCCCACCCCTGGCATTGTGTGGTTTGGGGGGATTCTGCCAGTGGGCCGCCAAGAGTTCTTCTGAAGGGGAAAAAACGATGCTAGGCATTCAGGCTTGTCCAGGATTCTTGTGCTCTCACTTTGTCGCAACTGCGAATCCCAAGGAACAAAAGAAGCACATGAATCGAATCCAGTGAAAGCCTGCCAGGTGCACATATTGCCACCTTTCCGTGTCCGGGGGTTTGCTCCGGATCTGCCTTGTAGTGCACTTTGTGTAACCACGCCAACCTGGTCTTCCTGATGTCCTCCTCGCATTGGAAGGATAGTCCCATTTCAGTAGGCTTTCAAAGACAGCGATGTCAGGCTCAGACCTCAACCGTGGGATGGAGTACCCGGACTTGCAGAGCGGTGAATGAGAGAATACATTACTAACAAGGTCTATACATTGTACCTTTGGGTTCACACGCTGCAGAACTGAGTCCACTGAAAACTGGAGACCTCGAAGAAGGGAAGCAGCAAGAACAACAAGAGCTCTAGCCTATGCCAGCTTGTGAGGCCTACATAGAAGTATATACAGTAGACCAAATTGACAGCTTTTTAGATGGACCTTTAAGGAACTCCACACCGGCAACCTCTAGCGACTCTAGCATCTGTAGCGGTTCAGATCGTCTCCTCAGACGCCTCTCAAACAGTTTGGATTGGATGTGTCCAGGCCCTTGCAGACACGTTGTTCATGTTGGTGAAGACCCTGAGCCATCCCATCGAATGCTGTCGAGGGGCACTGCAGAGACCTTGAGCACCATACCGAAGGTTTTCGAGACACCACCACCACCCCAGGCGCGTTCCTCTGCGAAGAGTGCCATCCAAGACATCACTTTCCAATCCTTTGCACGAACCTCAGCCGGCTGAGTTGTCAAGAAACCTCCCACCTGTGCAAAGTTCCAATGTAGAATTCACGCCCTGCATGCCAAGTAGCAGCTACAACTTGGAGAAGAACGCTAAAAGTGCGGTGTTTGTTTGCTGGTTCCCATAGCATTACGGAGTATGCAAAGTGTATTCCCAGTGGGTCAACCCCGTGACCGGTCAACCGTGAACCACTAAAGATTGTTTACCTGCTTCATATCTTCCAAGATCTTCCAAGGCACCAAGCGCCCCGTCACTGCGCGTAGGGGTTTCAAAGTGCTGTCCTGAGCAAGCAAGCAGAGGCATGAGCGCAATCGAACATCCGCAGAAATGGAAAGCATTGTAGCAGATATATTTGGCCATGGTCAGAAAACAATGGTAATAAACGCAAAAACCAAGTCGAAGCCTCTGGTACCTGGGGGGCCCTAGTTTTGAGCCTGAATTCTCATCGTATATTTCCCTAGATTGTCCTTTGCAGTCGGAATCCGATCTCAAAGCACTTAGATTTATTCATCACGTGACACCTCTTGATGACTTTATGTTAGACACACGTCTCTCGCATTGGATCGGCAAGGTTGAGATAAACACGGTGAGAAAAAATTGAGAAAAGGTCCATCGATCAGCGCCTCCGGCACCACCGGCGCCTCCATCACCTCCCTCACTCGCAGCGTTGCCAGCACCACCGCACCAGCTCCAGCGCCAGGGGGACTCAGGGCGCAGCGGGCGGAGGACCCGAAGAGCGGCGCCCAGAAAGACTGGCGCTGAGCGTGTTGGCTGTGTAGAAGGAGCTTGAGGCCCAAGAGATAATGCACAGAGGCCGAAGATCCTGAGAAAGACTCGAACATCTATCTGGGAGCACGTTTCGGTAGGGAGACGATGGAGGCACTGAGACACCCCAAAAGAGTATAGAAAACAGACGAAAGAACCAAACGCTCGGGAGATCCGATGTCCTGACTTTAACAAGCCCATTATATCTAGTTAGATCCAAAGTAAGGACCTGCTTGGAACTGCAGCTTGCTGTACAAGTCTATGGCACATACGTGACCCTGATCAGCGTGTTCTTGCCCGTTGTCTTATTCGGGCAAACTTTGCCCATTCAGTCCATCCGTCCAACCCATCCGCCTCCAGCGTGCAGCACCTGGCGTTGCAGCTGCTCCCAGGCCTCCACCAGGTCGCCGCCCTCAGGCGGTGCACAGCAGCGGTAGATCGCCTTCAGCGCGCGGTCGGGAAGCTCGCTCAGCGGCAGCTGGACCGGCAGCTGGACAGCAACAGTGACATAGGACAGCAACAGCTGGCACATGGGCAGCAAGAAGTGCCGAAGGCCCATGTTCTGGCAAACACTGGGAAGACACTGTGGCAAAACGGAGAACGCCTCTTTGAAAAAAAGGGAACAAAAGACACCTCATGCAGTGGTCCTTATTGATCTTATTGTGCCAAAGCAATTGAAAACATCAAATCCATGCACTTCCAGTCTTCTCTGTCAGCTTCCCTCCCGTTTCCTGAAAGCTTTCCCAAGCCATCCGGCAGCTGCGCAGCAGGGCGCTCAGCGCTCGGGGCCTCAAGCCCTTCAACACCGAGGCGAGGACGTCCGGCTTGAGGACGGCCACCAGCTGCGAGGTCTCCATCAACCCAAGGCGCCAGCGCCACCGGTTGGCACCATGGTCTTATGGTCTTTGTCTGTTTGGGTCGTCACACCCGAAGCTGATCATTGAGTGGTTAACCACGAATCCTGAATCGGCCTATGGCCTATGGTTGTATGGTTGATTCAGTTGATTCTGATATGCACTAAAATGATCAAACATGATCAAACTGCAATGATTGACTGCAGTGATTACTGCTGTCTTGGATTTCAGATGCAGTTTAAGCTCAGTTCATTCGGGGCCGCTTCAACGACGTCACATGGCTCACCTCCAAAGTCTTGTCCCCTGAAACTGCTGGGAGCCACGAAATTGCTATGTTGATACCCATACCTTACAGGTTCTTGGGTGACCCTGCCAAAGCATGGATGCTCAAAGCAAATGAAAATAAGATGACCCCCTTCGTTTCTTGGTTTGTACACAAGTGAGGATAACCCTTGTCCATCTTCGCAATCCACGGGGTCCGGCAAGGCTGCTGAGTCTTTTCGACCACAAGAGCTCGGGACCACGCGATCCTCAATCTCCTCGGCTTCTGGTTCCAACCCCAAAGTACCAGTGCCATGCTGCGGCGTCAGGAGCCCCGCCCGAGTGGGTCAAAGACTCTAAAAAAACACCAGAAAATGTGGCCTGTGGAAATAGGTGGGAAAGGGTTGATACTAGTATGGATTGATATCCACCTAAGATACACTTTTTGGCTGTTCGTTGTCCCAAACGGCCCGAGCAAACGCCTCAGCTGGTGCCCACGCGGAGCTGATTCCGTAGCGCCGCACGGGAGGGCACCCGTGCCTCGGTCAAGGGCCAGAGCAAACATGAACAAAGCGATAAAAAACGACGACGATCCGCTGACCCCGACCCAAAGGTCACGAAGCCAGCAAAGCAACAAGCCGCCAGGAGGAACCAATCAACCAGCAAATGAAGAATCACACAAGGACAGCGAACAGGATGTGATTGGCTCAGATTTACGGAGCCGGCAGCAGGATCATCTATCATCAGCAGTTTCGCAAGTTTTGGACTCAAATGACACAGTCTTTCTTTAATCAGGGTCTTCGGAACCGGCCTGCCGATCCACTGGACCAATCAGAGTAACAATGGCACAGCCACAGTACAAAACTCCACCGGGAAGGCTGTCGGTGTTGGCCCACTCTGCCCTCATGAATGCTGCGCCACACCCGGCCAACGGTGTGGCAGGAGCTCATCAAATTAAAGCAACCGAACCAGAACCACAGACCCCGTCTCCGCTCTTGCAGCTCTGGCGCTGGCTGAGGCTCCACGTTAGGCGGGTTCCAAGGGATGGCACGACCTCCACATGGTGCCTAGCGCACACAACACACAGAGAAATTGTTCAGTGCAGTGCAGAAAGTCACCTCAAGGGAAAAGAAATCCAAGCAGCATATCAAAGCAATGATAGCGACCTGGATCTTGCATGCCCGTCAAATACTGTAACTAGTGATCCAATCAACCTTTGTCAGAACTGGGAAATGCATGAACAAACCCACAAGTATCCCCAAGTCATCAAGTTGAGTAGTAGGTCTTCATCCAGACCCAAGTAGGCTTAGCAATAGCTATTTCTGAATGCAGGAGCTAGCAGTAGTCATTGCTAACACCGGAAGCCGGATGGCTGTGCTTTGTTGGTCTCTTCCTTTCCAGTTGCACCAAACTGGAGGAATTACCCTCAGAACTCACGCTGCCTGCGTTAGAACTGATTACAATAGGGAACGCAGAATGATTGGGAATGACACAGTGAGATAGAGAGCTCGCCGGGGTGAGCATCATTTCAGTTACTGAATCTGGATGCACCGGCCCTTGACCTTACAGCAATTAGACCTTGACTTGCACAACGGTATGGCGTGAAGTCAGCAAAACAGAAAATGTTTGAACAAAGGCTCACTAGCGCTTTACAAGAAGATGAGAGTCACAACCTGTCAACGCCACAAAAATTGCAGGTACCTTCCCGTCTGTGATCATAGTTTCGTCGCGTGCAGTAGAGCACAGATATTGCACTCCCTTGCTGTGTGAACAACTCTTAGGTACAGAGTATGAGACACACACAATAGGCCGATTATCGGCGCTCACGGGGAAAAACAGCAACGTCTTTGTTCGCCTCCGTAAAACCTTTTTACAACCTAACAAGCCTCTAGAAGAAACAAAGGCGAGAGAAAAGCGAGAGCAAGAGGAAGGAATAACATAAAGAAATCTGCGCAGGGAAGCGGACTCTGTACGCAGTTCGTTCGGCAAAAAGACCTGATTTACAACCTAACAAGCCTCTAGAAGACACGAAAGCGAGAGAAGAGCAAGAGCAATAGGAAAGAGTGAAAGAACTCGGCGCTGTGAAGTGGACTCAGTGCTCAGTTCGCTCGGCAAAGAAGCCTGTTTACAACCTAACAAGCCTTTAGAAAAGAAGGAAAGTGAGAGAAGAGACAAAAACAAACGAAGAGAAAGGTCGACTGGGCGCCGAAATGGCAAACTCTCGTGCAGTTGGGGGAGATAGAGCCAGTCGAAGCTGGTGATGATAAAGCCGGTATCGGCGCAACCCAACCTGGATTTACTACCTAACAAGCCTCTACTCAGAACGAAAGGGAGAGAAAAGCAAGAACAAAAAGAAGGAGTGAAAGCCGTGCATGACAACATCTGGAAACACGTGTTGAAAAATCCACAACTCGTGTGATTGAAACAATTCGCGATTGACAGGGTCCGAATCAATGGAATTCAGAAGATTAATCTCCGTGAGCTCGGCAGTAGAATTTCTGCAATTTCGAAACTCAAACTGTGGATCCGGAGGTGGCTCGCAGTGCAAAACGCGGGAATGTGAAGTATTCTCCTTTGCCAAACGACTGAAGTCTGCGCCGTGCAGGGATCATACGGCATACCGCAGTGGGAAGATGCCGCTGGACACACTGAAATAGAGAGCTTAGCGGGGTGAGCACAATTTCAATTAGAATCTGGGCGCGCTAGCCCTTGACCTAGCCCTTGACCTTACAGCAATTAGACCTTGACTTGCACAACGGTATGGCGTGAAGTCAGCAAAACAGAAAATGTTTGAACAAAGGCTCACTAGCGCTTTACAAGAAGATGAGAGTCACAACCTGTCAACGCCACAAAAATTGCAGGCGCAAGATCAAGCGTCCTTGATCCCTTCCCATCTGTGATCATAGCTTCGTATCACAGACGCTGCACGCCCCTGCCGTGTCAAAAACTTTTGGATACAGAGCATGACACACACGCACACACTCCAATCATACAAACACATTTGGGCGGAGGAAGACTTCATCACTTTCCTTCTGTGTGTATTTCCGTTTGTGTCTGAACAGGGTGGCCCCTCTTAGTGCTCTCAAACCCTTCACTACACCAGGGTCTAGAAGATCCCACGGGCTACTGAGAAAAATGTTCCAACCCCATTTAAAGTAAAGAAAAGGGAGCGCGCGATGCTCCTGATCCGCATTGCCCCGTTTGGCTCCACCCAATCGCCTCGGTCGCTGAGACGGCGCCCTGGGACACACCCGTCGCGTCAGCCTGGGGCTGGAGCGGACTCGTTTGTTGCGACAATCTTTTGGTTTCTCAATGGACTTGAAACTCTTATGTGGAAACCTGAAGAAGGAGGCCCATCCTCAAGTATGAGCGAGTAGTTTGCTTCAGAGTTTGTTCTTCAACAGGCAGGCAGTCCACCTGCACAACCTGCACCGCCAGTGAAGGCGCACAAGTTCCCCCGGAGGATGTCCAGGGCGGAGCTCCGCATGGTTGGACGGCCTGGCGAAGCCGCCGCGGGTTTATGTGTTTAACCCGAGTGGCTCTAGGCGCCTACTTAATTGAGTAAGCGAAAAGTTCGCTCCTAGCTACTAGGACGCTTCGAGTAACTGGAGGCAGGATTCCTCACGCGCTAATGATTTGGTTCCTAAAACTTTAGGAAAACTGGAGATGGTGACACCTTCTCTCCGAGTCACCAAGCTGATTGATGAACCGATTCCATTACGAACTTAAAGGTGCGCTTTGGTAGAACAATTGGGTGGACGTCGGATCGGTCACCAGGATCGGTGACGAAAATGGTCGGACCGGTCGCCACAGATCGATCACCATAATTATTCGGATCAGTCGCTGGAATATACAGTTTGGTCGCCAGAAGAGATCGGATCGATCACCAAGCCACGAACAATAGCGACTCGGTCGCCAGGATCAGTCACCACACAATTGTCATAGCGAAGGGAAGAGAAAAAAACAACCAGCCATACCGGATCGGTCGCCACACACGAAGGGAAGAAAAAAACAAACCAACCACGCCCGATCGGTCGCCAGGATCGGTCACCAGAGAGGTATAGCAAAAGAAATAGAAAACAAACAAACCAACCATACCGGATCGGTCGCCAGCGCCAGGATGGGCCTTGTGACTGTAGTCATACACAGTCACACTCCCTGAGTTCATTTTTCAAAAAAAATCAAGAAATGGGCGCGTGAAAAAACAATTCGCGCGTGAAAACGTGTGAAAATCAACTTGAGTTTCCACGGCTTCAACCATCTTACCCGTCGATCACGGCTACTACTACTACTACTACTACTACTACTACTACTACTACTACGACTACGACTACGACTACGACTACGACTACGACTACTACTACTACTTCTATTACTACTACTACTACTACCACCACCACCACCACTACCACTACCACTACCACTACCACTACTACTACTACTCCTACTACTACTACTACTACTCCTACTACTACTCCTACTACTCCTACTCCTACTCCCACTCCTACTACTACTACTACTACCACCACCACTACTACTACTACTACTAGCACCAGCACTACTACTAGTACTACTACTACTACTCCTCCTCCGACGGCGACTCCTCCGACGATGACGACGACGACGAACTATACTACTATACCACTGCACATACGACGACGACAACGAATACTACTATTTACTACTAATACTAACACAACCACCACTACTACACAATGACTACGACTACGACTACGACTACG